CGTGTGTAATTTGGAAAGGCACTAACGCATGTGATAGAATCACACTGTGTGGTTCTTCTATTTATTTTGGAGTACAAAATAATACTGTGTGGAACGTCTTGTTTTTCTGTCACAAGTTCAATTGCAGGCCATGCTGGAACTGAACAGAGGTTACAAAAAAAAGCCTTGTGAAACTAGGTTTTGTAGCTCTGGGAGTGTGCTTGTATGAGTGCGTGTCAAGTAGCAGCAGCTACTGTGTGAGCTGCTATTTAGGGACATTGGGAGTGTGGACCAGTGGAGAAGGAAAACAATTAATGTGTAGAACATGTCAGTTTGTTACCAAATCATCTGTATTGTAGACGTACCAATTTAATTTAGTATTTTGATCATTATTGGTTAAGGCTTCTTAGTGTTTATATCGTAATTGTGTCAGGAAGCATCTTTCCAGAAAATTATGACAGCAGATTGCTGCCTCCTTTTCCCATTATTGGCTCTTCCGTTTCAGCTTCAGGATTCTTACAGACCCTATTTAAGCATAAGGCCCTATGTCATTTTCCTTTCTTGGTAGATTGATCCTTGGTGTTTGGTGATCTCTTGTTGTGCTGCTAACTTTGGGGATCTTGGCTACTCAAAGCGTGCTCCAAAATGCTATGTTTCTAAAACAGTTTATCCTTTCTGAACGTCAGGTTGTGGATTATTGATGAGAATATTTGTGTGAATGTGATTGTAGGTGTTGGTATCTATACAGTGGCAAAGTCCTCAACTGCAGCAAGACCTCTGACTCAATTATTAGCTTTATACTTCTAGAAGCCAACATGAGCTTAATGTAATGGAGTTATACGAAGTCTCTTCCACTTCAAACCAGCAAACATTGCCTGAATATTCTGCTGAAGTTCACAAGAATTTGGAATTTTAATACCCAAACATACAAATAATACAACTTCTAAGTAGGACAGGATGAGAAAAAACGACCTATTAGATTTGCAACATTTGTGGTTTACTTCATTTCCTCAGTATTTTAACCAGCGACTGATTTTTTTTTTTTCTATTTTATTTCAAGATGGGCCACAGCTTCATGGTTCAAGGAATAATTAGAGCTAATTTTGCTCAATTGGGATTGGACTTCCATTTTTTAAAGACATATGAGTTCTGATGGCAATTTAATATCGAGTCTGATATTCTATTCTCAGCAATCCTCAGACTGATCTGCGTGTCCCTGGGATTCTTCCACCTACTGATTTGAGACCATCTGTTTCTGTGTTCCAGTCTCGTTTTCTTTCAATGCTGGTTTGTGGTGGGGCTTCTTTTGTGTTTTTGTTGCTGTTTTGTTTTTAAGCTGTGAGGGAATGCCATTTTAATGTTTCGATTCCAGCTATGCTAGCTGCTCTGGCAGACTGGTGGTCTGTTAAGTGAAGCATAAGCAGTTAAGGTTAGGCTGGAGCTGGAGTAATATAAGAAGTTACCATCCCCCGCTGCTGGCTGTGTTAAATGAGTTGAATGGGCTGTCTGCTTCCTGAGAGCTTGATGTTGAATTTGTGCTTCCACTGCATGAGGATTTATTTTATTTATTTATTTTCATACTTCTTCCGCTCCCTGTCCCGTCCCCTGCCCTATTATGCTCCTCCTCTTGGCCACGATATCTTGAGGATGCTGTAGTAAATTCTTCTCTTGGTATGACTACTGATGTGTTTATAGAGAGCACATATAACATACCACTAAGTCTTTTGTACAGAACCATTTCCTGCAAACAGATTTGTGTCCTCCATTTACTTTGGAAACTTGCCTCCTTACAGCATCTCTCAAAAACATGGTTGCATTTCTTTCTCACCTTGCTTGCCATAAACAATGCTTCAGACTGAGATGCTGGTTGGAATAATAGTCCTATTAATAATGAAAGCTTTTATATTTTAAATATACTCTTCCTAAGTAATCTTTCACAGTCAATTCCTACCACTGTACCACTCCAAAAGATGAGTACTAGAAATTGGCACAGGAGAGTGGGCTGCTTGTGCTCTAAATGGCTACACTAAGATACATGGTTTTCATATGTTTAAATATATGCTTCATTTTTTTCTTAGCAACCAGTATTTCTTACTAAATAGCATATCATAGCTCAGTACCTTCCTTCAGACTGATAAATATCTGGGACTAAGTTTTTATCATTATAACTGTACGATGCTTCTTCTTTGCATGCGATATATCTATTGCTACTTCAGTGTGAGAAAACTGTGGGTATTTTTCTTTAGTTACCAATTCAATAAGTAAGTCTGTACTAGTCTGCACAGCCTAGACAAGAAACTAAAGTTCAGCTACGTTGTCCCCACACAAATCTGGAGCCCTTTGGTTAGATTAGTGCCATACCTTGTTTTTCGTTTTCTTCCCTTGATTTTACTTGATTCATGTTGCCAAGAATAATTGTTTCAGGTAATGATTTTTCAGCTGTGGTTTGTGAATTCCTGGAAAACACTTCACAGATTCTGTGAAAACGGAAGTAAGATAAGGTGGAAAAAAAAAAAAAAGCCCATTGTTGGTAGTTTTAAATCCATCAGAATGATCCAAACCACTACTGAAAAATTTTATAGGTTTACAAATGTAAATAATTGGAAGTGTCTTCTATAACTTATGCTGCAGTGTCATAGGATTTAGGTTGTTTTGATCATGGGCTCTGTCAGTCTGGAAAAATACCTAGCTAAGAGTTTGAGCCTTAACAAGGTCAAACCCTGAACTCTTCATTTCACTTCTCCATCGTTCTCTGTCTTGGTGATAACATCGCTCATCTTTTCTGTTGCTAAGCCTTTAATCCAATGATTGTCTTTATACAGATCTGTGGCCAGTCTTCTGCATTACATTGAGATGAGCTTGATTTTAAACACTGTATTCTCCTGTTTTTATTATCACAGCCTCATCTCTCATATATTGATTTTTCTCGAAGTATTCTTTCTATCCCCTTTCTCTGCAAACTCGCTATCCCATTTTATCACTAGAATATAGAGTGGTGACCGTTTGGAGAATGTAAGTTTTCAGTAGTGTGCACGAGGTGGTTGCAGCTTGTGCTGTCCAGTGAAGATGGTGCAGTGTTTATTTGTTTCTTTGTAATAGCAGTCGCTCTGTCTAAGGATTTAGTACTGTTATTAACAGCTGTAGTGTGCTTTCTCTTAAAGTGTGCTCTCTTTAAGTAAAGTTCTTCCTTAATTTCATGGAGTTGATTCTCTAAATTAAAATTCCGCTTATATGATTTTTAAAAAAAAAAAAAAAAAAAGCTTTGTACACGCTTCAGTTTTGGTGGTTGCATTTGGATAGGAAAGTGGCCAGAGGTTCTAATACTGTTTTTGCTATGGCAGAAAGACCTTTATATTTTCAGCTAAACAAAAAAAAAATAGCCCTAAATCTGTCTGTAGAGGTGAGAGATACAAAATGATTTCCTCTGCACTGAAAAACTAGAAGTAGAATACTTCACTTCCATATATTCTTGCAGATCTAATTTCATGGGTAATGTTTCAGCTAATACATGAAAAATCAGGTAATTACAGAAAAGAAACTATACCTGTCAGTGATTGTGTTGAGAAAGCATTCTCTTTGTGTGGGGAATACTTTGTAGGTGTGCTTCCTTGTGCACTGTACTACTAAAACAGCACAAATCCAAACATTTTATTTGTAAAAGGGAAATTTCTAGATACTGTTTTGCAGTTCTGCTGTTCTGTCATGGTTAAATTAAAATCAGATCTGTTTCACTTGTGTAGTTGGCTTAAAGGTTTAAAAAGGATATTCCAGCAGGCTGAATAACCTGCTTCCTTAAGCCTCCAAAAATTAGATTTTCGAGGAAAAAGGATGCTAATTGTTTTAAAAATTCATGTAATAGTAATAATGATATAATATTATGTCATAAGCTTGAGAAATTGCTCTGAGTTATGAAACTAAGAAGTTGTGATTAAAATGATGTGCAATTTCTGCTCACAAACAGCAGCACATTAAATTCCCAACTGAGAAAGTAATAAAGTTTTTTTTTTCCTGCACACTCTGGTACAGAAAAAGAAAAGTCCCAGACTGTAGTAACATGGCTGTTAGCCTTAGCTGTATTCCAGATGTTTGATGTCTTAACTTACGTGTAGCTTCTGCTTAGCTCTGTATTCTTCCCCATGCAGTGTTCTCTCAAATCCATCAGACTCCTTTTTTGATTTTTTTTTTTAACCTTTTCTCTTCAGGTCCTTTAGAAGCCCAGGTTAGCCTGTCCTACTAGCTTGCTTCTGTTTTTCTCCTATTTTAATTGGATTGCAGTTGATATTCCTTGCCCTGATTTACAGATTGAAGTGGCCAGATTTTGATGATTTTTCCATTTGTAGATAAACTGCTTAAGCTCTGACTTGCCTTTTGTATTGGCATGGTGAAAATATACATGAGAATGCTTTTTTAATAATGCAAAGAAGATACATGTAGAACAGAAACTGGTAATGGTTTGGGGAACATACATGTGGCTGTTAGAAGGAGCATTGAGCTATTGCTCACTTTAGTAAAAAGTGGTGGAATTCCTCAAACTGTATCTCAGATGTACCACATGAAGATAGTAATGCTTACAAATATTTGAAGTGATCTGAAGATAATAATTTTTATCAACAATAAAAAAAAAATCAAGCTTTTATTGTTTTGGGAAAGGCTTGATTGTACTCTCTAGTTGTGTTTTGAGATCTGTCACTCAAGCTGAGTGGTTTCGTTCTCCAGTGATTCTCACCAGTGAGGTCCTTAAAACATCTGCAGCCCACGATGGAAAGTAATAGTACTCCCAGTATTTTTCAACAACATCTACAGATACCTTCAAGGCAGAGAAAGCAGAGATGTTCTTTACTTTTCCTTCAGTAAGGCTTTGGACACTGTCTCTCGTGACATCCATGTAGACAGGCTGACAAACTGTGTGTTAAATAAGAGGGCTGTGAGTCTGGAGGCTTGCGATCTGTGACACAAGTGACAGAGGAAAGCCTCCGGTAGTGTACCACAGGGGTTGATAGTACCAGTACTGTTTAGCATCCTTGTTAATGACCTGGATGTTGATACAGTGCACCCTCAGCAGGTTTGCCAGAGAACAAAACCAGGACTGGGGGGTTCATATACCACGTGGTTGTGCTGCCATGTAGAGGGAGATGGACAGACTGGAGAACTGGGCTGAGGGGCATCTCATCTAGATCAGCAAAGGGAAATGTAGAATCCTGTGCCTGGGGAGGAGTATCCGCAGGCACTAGTAGGTGCTGGGGGCTGGCCAGCTGCAAAGCAGCTCTGCAGAGAAGTAGCTTGGGGTACTAGGTGTTCAACAAGCTGACTTTGAGCCAGTAATGTGCCCCTGTGGCAGAGAAGGCAGATAACCTTCTGGGCTGGGCTAGGAAGTGTTGCCAGCAGGTTGATGAGGGAAGGTGATCCTTCCTCCTTGTCCAGCTCTGGTGAGGCTGCATCTGGAGAACTGAGTTCACTTCTGGTCTCCTCAGTACAGGACAGACATGGAGCTACTGGAGAGAGTCCATCAAAGGGCTACACAGATGCTGAAGAGACTGGAGCACCTCTCCTCTGAGGAAAGGCTGAGGGAGCTGGGACTGTCAGCCTGGAGAAGAGAAGGCTCAAGTGCAATCCTGTCAATGTGTGTAAACACCTGGTGGGAGGGAATGAAGAAGAGTTAGCTGGGCTCTTCTCGGTAGTGGTCCCTGACAGGACAAGAGGCAGTGGACACAACAATCATGGAATTCAATCTGAATACAGGGAAACAAAAAAAAAAAAGTGAGGGTGACCAAGCACTGGAACAGGTTGTCCAGAGAAGTTGTGGAGTCTCCTTCCTTGAAAATATTCAGAACCCAGCTGTGTATGGTCCTGGGCAGCCATCTCTAGCTGACAGTGCCAGAGCAGGGCGGTTCCTAGCACCACAGCATGGCTGAGGCTGGCAGGGACGTCTGGAGCCCACCTGGTCCAGCCTCCTGCTCTAGTAGCAGGTTTATAGGAGGCTTACCTGTTGTCTTCTGACAGGGATGTCCCAAAGGACAAACCCAAAGGGTGTTGAACAGCCTGTTCTTGCAGCAGGGCTGTGCTCAGGCTATGGTGGTCATGTTACTGTGAGCATGTATTGCACCTCTGTGCCGTAGTTCAAGGGAAGTAGGGGGAATCAGAGGGGAACTGGAAAGGTAGCAGCAGATGCAGTTTTAAATAAAAGCTACACAGGTGTCCTGATGTTTCTGGAGGAAGAGGTGCATGGTAACGAGATCCAATTGCACTGTTTCGTATTGTCAGCTCTTGTGAGCAATTTCTGGTTTGTCCCAACATTTTGTTGACTTCCCTCCCACCCTTCCTTTGGTTTTATATTTGGTGGATGTTTATCAGTTGTTAACAGCAACGATCTATGCCCTTTAAAAAAATAAATAAAAAATTAAAAAGCAAGTAACTTTTTGCAATAAAGGAAGAAATACAGTCCCACAATTTTGAGCTCTTCAACCTTGATAACACTTTTTTCTTTAATATTCCCTTTCCTACATTTTGAAGCCCTTAACAGTTGAATTTCCATAGCAAAAAGACTGAGTAGTAAGTGTCCTGCTGACAGGCACGCTAGTATTTATCAGCTGTGGTTCTCCGTTATGCTATTTGATGTTAAGATCAAACTTGAAACTGGATTACAAATTAACAGCTGTTTTGGAGCACTTTGGAGGATGGAGTAAATGGCATGGGAGATAGGGAAGCCCAGCAGAGGCTGTAGTTGCTTTAATGCTTCTCCGTAATGGCTCTACCCTTCATCTGTGTGATCACGTATCAGATAAATTATTTAGAAGATAATGATGTGTATTTTGTGCTTTTTCTTTGTAGTTTATCAGAAGAGTACTGATTTTTTTTTTTCTACGTGGCTGAAAACTGATGCAGATCCAGTAGAAAAGACAGTAGTGCCTCATTGCCTCATGATACGTTAAAACAATTGCAATCAGTGGTGAGGGCAAGAATAGAGAACTAACAAGTGAGAGAGTAGCTTGGTGTTTTCACCAACCTGATGAAATTCCCCTGTATGTTGGTTAAAAAAACTGGCAACAGGCTGAGACAATTTCAGAGCTATAAGGAATTATCGTGGAGACTTCACAGATGTATGAAGTTTTCAAAGACCAATATAAAGCAGATTAATAAACAGCTCCTGAATAAAAAAATGGATGCAAAAAGGTTTGATGTACTTTATAGACTACATTTCTAAACGTACCTAAAAAAAATCTTTTATAAATCAAGGTGGTAAGTTAGACAAGGTGGCTTTATGATGAGCCCTGTCTGGGTGTAGTGGTTTAACCCAGCAGGCAGCTCAGCACCATGCAGCTGTTGGCTTCACCTGCCTGCCTCAGTGGGATGGGGGAGAGAACTGATTAAAAAGTAAAACTCGTGGGTTGAGATAAGGGCAGTCTAATAGGACAGAAGAGGTGTTTCATGTATTTTTTTTTTTTATTCCCCACACACACAAGTGGTGAACAATGTGATTGCTCACCACTTGCTGACCAGTGCCCAGCCAGTTCCTGAGCAGCCCCCCAGCCAGCTCCCCTCAGTTTTATTGCTGAGCATGCCATCATGGCCAGCCTGGGCCAGCTGTCCTGGTTCTGCCCCCTCCCAGCTCCTGGTGCACCCCCAGCCTGCTCACTGGCAGTGTGAGAAGCTGGGAAGTCCTTGGCTCTGTGTCAGCACTGCTCTGCAACAGCTAAACCATCAGTGTGTTACTAACAATACTTTCCTCCTAAATCCAAACACAACGCCATTCCAGCTACAGTGAAGAAAATCACCTATCTGTAACCAGGACACTGGGAAACAATTCTTGGTCACTATTAACAGTTATTTGAAACTCATTTTCAAAAATTATGGAAGAAGATTAGTACTTGCCCAAAATGCTAAGTGCTAAACTCACTCTGAGTCAGATGATGGTTAAATTAGGACCCAGCTCCAGCTGGCCGTGGACCCAGCCTGTCCTTCAACTTGGCTTGCTGTGAACTGAAGCAAGCCCAGAATAACTTGTTGTAGTAGATCAGCTAGGAGTATAAGAGATCCCTACGTTTAGCCTTGGGTCTGCTCTGGGAAACACGCTAAACTTCAAACAGGTGCAAATCAGAAAAGCTAATGTTGCCCCCATCTACTCTGGCTGGACTGTAGCCTTCCTGTAGTTGAATATTTTTGCGTTGCCTTCCAGCTGCTAATTTGGCTGCTCCTGTTCTAATGTAAAGGGGTTTATACCTGTTGAGAAACCCACTGTGGCTACGAGCTGCCAACCGGCCTGCTGCCAGACGGCTGATGCCGGGAGCAGCCGTGGTTGTGCATCTGGATCTGTCCTAGGTCCTGAACCGCTCCATCTCTGCAGCCGTGTTTTCAGAGAGAGGATTGAGGTTGGAGATGAAAATGTTTGCAGGTGATGCAAAGCTGGAAAAGATTGCAAGTATCGCTGAAGATAACAACCTCAATAAATGTTTAGCTCCAAGGGAAAACAACCCATGTGCACAAGTGTAAAACCAAAGCGAATGCAAGTTAAGGTAAAAGAATGGTAGCTTCTACACATTGTATAAAATTATGAAGTGAAGGTATCATGCTATCATGCTGTTGGAGTGTTTTTTTGTTGTTGTTCTTGGTGTTTGTTTGTTTGTTCGTTTTGTTTTTTGTTTCCCTGAAATCTAGGACAGATTCTTTTCTGTAGAAAACCTGAAGTAATGGTTGGCCTTTTGTTTGTAGCTGAGGACTGGGGGGGGTTCATTGTCCTTTTTCCTGAAAAGCTAGGTATGACTATAAGATAGTGAAATTCGTGTCAGTGATGTAAATGATCGGTGGTTTGAGCTGAAGGACCTGAGACTGTTTAATTGGCAGAAGACTTTTATTTCTCTTGAGAATTGAAATAAATTCAGGCTGGTCATGGAAAAAGAGGAAAATAAACTTTTTTCTACCATAAATAAATAAATAAACACAAAACAAACCAAAACAAGCCATTAAATTGTCGTAAGGGAGATAAAAACCTCACAAAGCTTGACTAAGACCTCACAAAGACCTTTCTAGTAGGATTACCAAAGACATGTTGACAGCATGATCAATAGTATTGGCAGTATATTGGCAGTATTTAATAACTTCATAAGGAAAACACCTCTCAAGAGTCTCAAGAGTTGTGGGTTAACCTTGGAAGGCTAAGCAACGTGCAGCCACTTGCTTGTCCTCTCACCTCCAGGGGGACGGAGCAATGAGAAATGGAGAGTAAAAGTAAAAAACAAACAAAAAAAAGACCCCCTCAAAAGAAAAAGCAACAACACCCTTGTGTTTTGATGTAATTGGCTAATTATTGAAGGAAAAGTGAAAGAACAGAAAGAAAACAAAAGTGATGCAAAGGCAGTGACTCACCACTCCACAGGTTGACCCATTCTCATCCAGTTACTGAGCACGAGATAGCTAACCTCCATGAACCCTTTATTTTCCCTTTTTTGCTGCTGGGAATGTTGTTAAATGGCATGGAAAACCCTTCAGTTAGTTGGGGTCAGCTGCCTGGTTGTGACCCCACCAACCTCTTGTGCACCCCCTGATCTATTCAGTGGGAGCCTGCAGGGCTGTCTCTCACTACTCAGTCTCCCAGCTGCTGTTGCATAGCAGATTTTTTTCTTTCCCCTTTCTGAAATCTGCTCTCCCAGAGGCCCAACCAGTGTCACTCACTAGCTCAGCTCTGGCCAGCAGTGAGTCACTTTTGGAGCCGGCTGGAGCTGGCTCTGATCTGGCCTGGGGTAGCTGCTGGGCTCTGCTCACAGATGCCATCCCTGCAACCACCCTGCTACATTGCCACGTAATCCCAATACAACGTTCAGCTAACATTAGTGTGTTACCAGCATCGTTTTGGTTCCAAATCTAAAGCACAGTGCCATATGAGCTGCTATGAAGAAAATTAACTACATCTCATTAATGTAGTTATGAATTAAGTGGAATTTGCCTTCCTGTGCTGGACCAGGGAATGGAAAAATTAACCTTTTGGGTTCCTTCCTAGACACTTATAATGATTCTAGACTATTCTCCACTTGTCAAATTATGTTGTAGATTGTCTGTACATTTGAAGTTTGAAAAAGTCTTGTTAAAGGTCCTGTACACACTGTCCACATCACAGAATCACAGAATGGATGAGGTTGGAAGGGACCTCTGAAGATCACAGAATCACACAATTTCTAGGTTGGAAGAGACCTCGAGATCATGGAGTTCAACCTCTGACCTAACACTAACAGTCCCCACTAAACCATATCCCTAAGCTCTACATCTAAACGTCTTTTAAAGACCTCCAGGGATGGTGACTCCACACTTCCCTGGGCAGCCCATTCCAATGTCTAACAACCCTTTCAGTAAAGAAGTTAAAGAAGATCATCCAGTCCAACCCCCCTGCAGAGCAGGATCACCTAGAGGACATCGCACAGGATGGCATCCAGGCGAGTTTTGAATATCTCCAGAGAAGGAGACTTCAAAACCTCTCTGGGCAGCCTGTTCCTGTGGTCTGTCACCCTCACAGTAAAGAAGTGCCCCCTCATATTAAGCCAGAACCTCCTGTGCTTCAGTTTGTGTCCGCTGCGTTTTGTCCTGTCACTGGGCACGACTGAAGAAACCAGTTTCATCCTCTCAACGCCCTCCCCTCAGATATTAATACACGTTGACGAGGTCTCTCCTCAGTCTTTTCCAGGATCCATTTTCTTTTCCATTGATCCATCTGCATCGAGCAGCTCTTGATGTTGCATGTTTTTTGTCATGCATTTCCAATACCCACAGGTATTGGCTGTATCCAAGATAGTGTGTGTTTGATTCAAGTGATTGGCTTGTCTTAATATAAGCATATACTTTAGGTGTGGTGGTATGCTTTTCATCGCTTGTTTTCTTGTTAGCTTTGCATAGTACCGTAGTTTTCATTATGCTAATTCCCCAGAAGTCTGCTTTTATGCCTAAATTTGCTGTGTTTGCTGATCCAGATGGTGAACAGATGAAAAGCTCAGTATGTCTCTACTTGGAAGCATAATCAGAAACATAGCAAGGTACCAGGAAAATGCTAAACAATGCTAGAAAAAATGTACTCTTTCTATAATGTACAAGCACAGTTACAGAGCAGTCAAATTTTACTTCAGTATGTAAACACTGAGGATCACAGAATGGTTGAAGTTGGAAGGGACTTCTGCAGGCTGTCTACTCCAACCTTTCTACATAAAGCAGTCTTTTTCTGCAAAGCTACTTTCCAGTCAGTTGGCTGACAGCGTGTACAGGTGCGTGGGGTTATTCCTCCCCAGATGCAGGACTTGGTGTTTCCCTTTGTTAAACGTAATGACATTGCTCTTGTCCCATTTTTTCAGCCTGTTGAGGCCCCTCTGAATGGTGGCATAACCATCTCATGTGTTGACCACTCCTCCAGATTTTCTGTTATCTGCAGACTGGCTTGAAGTTGGACTCTGTCCTGTTATTCACAACCCTATGATGCCAGCAATTTGGCCAGTTCTCAGTCCACATTTATCTAGATTGTACTTCCACAGTTTGTATGTGGGAGTGTTGTGACTGACAGTGCCAAAAGCCTTACCAGTGTTGAGATAAACAATATCCATTGCTCTCCTGATACCTGCCAAGCCAGTCTTTTTGTTGTAGAATGAAAGTTTGGTCAAGCGTGATTTCCTCTTCATAAATCCAAGCTGACCGGTGTCCCTTTCTTGTCCTTTGTATGTTCATTTCAAGGATTATTTACTCAATCACCTTTCTAGTTGATGAAGCTGACAAACCCGTACTTCTTCAGGTCCTTCATCACCCATGAAGACAGAAGGAACGTTTGTTTTCTTCTGA